TTAAAACTTTACTGTTTCACCTACTTAACTCATCATCTTTGAGGGGGACTATCCTCAACACCTGTCAGTGGTCCCCCTATGAACCTCCAGCTCTTACTGTAGGGTCTCCGGAGCCGGGATTGAGTAACAAAGTCCTCACTTCGACGAGGATTCCCAATCGCTTTCGCGGCCTGTGTCGTCTTCATCTCTCAACACATCCCCCTATCACCATTATCACGAAGCTAACTGTTAGAAATTGTCAAGGATTTCTAGGAGGAAATATCTCGAAGAACAAGTGTACAATTTCGGACAAGAATTTATTGATAGTTGTATGTGATATCGAACTCTCTTCTCAATATGAATTAATAATATATAATACTCTGTTAACTTATCTTTACATATACAGATGAGTCTATCCTTAAATACAGATCCCGAACTCCCAGTGATCTAGCAACAACCAGCCACTCAATTATCGCAAGGTAGCATTTCCTAGCCACTGCATTCCAGATGCCACTAAATCTTATTTCGTCCAACTGAGCTTAATCATATTCAATCGAATCAACTCAATAGATCTTGATGATCATACCTAGAAATCTAAGCCTTCATGCATGCTGAGTCTAGATTTGCAACACTAACCACGATCAGATCAGATGGTAGGGTCGGAGCCCTACTCATCACCAACCCTTGATCATGGAGGAGATGCCATCCGATGAGTTTCCGGAGCGTACCCAGCACCCGATACGGAGATGGCGGATTGGATCAAGATGGCCTCTAATGTTACAAAGAAGGGAGATATAGATGAATATGTACATCTCATGTGGACCCGGTTTCTAGGCCTCGACTGGCTAAGGCTGCAGGTTTCTTGAGGCCTTTTTCCCGCGCACGCAGTTTCCATCGTTACCATTTTTAAAGAAATTTGGGTAGAAGGTTCCATGGAAAAGGTGACTGAATTCCACGGGTAAACACTGAGCCGAATGGCTACTCATCAAGGGAAATATATCAATGATCTTTCAAGAAACATGAGAGGCATGGAGCACTGTACAAGGTGTGGCCTGGGCCAGAGGGGAGCCCAATGTGCTCGATAGTCAGTGACTCTTGTAGTAAGATAAATGTACTTCTCTCTCATCATCTTTGGCCCCTACACGATCTTTACCAGCTTAGAACCTCACCCTACGGCGCAGTTGGCTTGATCGAGGGCTATCTCTACCCGGCCATGCAGGGCAGTCGCCAGATATTCCCGAGCACAATCCTGTGTGTCCCGCTCCTGGAAGTGGAGAAGTGAAGGGTGCATAATTTCATTCCGCACTTGTGCATGTTTTCATAGACTGGGGCAGGGGCCACGGCTTTCCGGATGCTCCTTGTCGAATTTTCCGCGTCTTCACCCATCCCGGGACACTGACAGATGTTGGAACCTCGGCTTACGTACTCTACCAAGCCTTTGGAAAACTACGCTCTCCTTCCACTCGTGTCACCTTAGAGAGCCTTTCTCTGCGCTCCTTCATGTAAGTGCAGAGATGAATCAGCACCTGGTCTTTCTCCGAGAAGCTTCAGTGGCAGGGAGCCTCTTGGTTCGGGGGCCCCTTGGCTACATATGTGGCTGAGTTCGTCCAACACTCCGCGTTAGTCGAGTGTGCATGTCGTCCGAGCTTCGTTTTGCCTTTCGCGATTCAGGCCACCCACCTCCACGAATCGTCACCACTTCGATTGCTAAGCGGCTGTTAAAAATACTCACGAAGAATGGACAGCAAACAGTGAGATGCCATCACGAATTGACTCCTAGATACATAAGAGTTAATCTGTGAATCATTCATGGGAAAACAAGGCCTGCACGTGGGTTATGGTCTGGCGAAATCTCTGATATCACATTTACTCACAACACTCCCCCTCTTCATCTACTGCAGAGCCCGAGTGAAGTCTCACATTGACCATGAGGGCTTTTTTATCCATGAGTACACGGTATCCCCCAATACTTCACACGGTAAAAGAATCTGGTCTAGACTATTCGTTGTAAATAATCCCGGCCAAGACTTTTCGGATATCACAACACTTGCAGTTATCATGCGGCGCGAAGGAGAAAACGTTGTGAACCATAACCCGAAAGACAGAGAGTTTTCCTCTCAGGTACACATAAGTCTTCAATGCCCGGTTGGTCACTTTTAGTTAACGCTTCAGAAGATTATCTATGTCTTTGAAAATAGTTATGATGTCATTATTAGGAGAGTTGTTGCGAGTATTTTCTTTGTCATTTCCTAGCTGCCATAGATTACGAAGTTAAAATTGAAATTAGTTCCGGAGATGGGAAGAATTACATACTAGTCTCGAGTTTGATTTAGAGATACGACAAATGTGTTTACTATACAAAGAAGTTTACTGATATTAAATGGATAGTTAATTGTGATTAAATTGCTGTAATTCTATATGTGTGGCGAGAAATCCCTCTATATACATGAAAGCGGGGTTTTCCACACACTAGTGTGAACTCCAACATACTTCCTAATCTAACCTAAATGGGAAGGTTGTTGGAGATCCTGAAGGCCAATGTATGCCGTCTGGCATCTATTGGCTAATTACGATTCATGCCAGTGAGTGATGATATGGGTTAATCATATCTCATAGCGCCAGTGCATATTATTCTAATATGTAATATTTGTCTACTGCAGTCATTTTGCTGCCTTAATTACAACAGTTAAATGGGTAAATGGCTGCATCACCCTTACTTATTCAAACGGGAGTAACGTGCAAATCTACCACAAGATATAATAGACTCAGAACATCACTTATTGCCATGACCAAGTGTTTCCCAATAAATTTCAATACTTGTCTATTGGCTCTGGGACCTCCAATTTCTTTCCATTCTAGATATGACTATAAAACATATTGGAGGACCCATCAACGTACAGAGATCCCCCCATCAGATGCACATGGGGACTTATTATCAAATAACTAGCACAAACACATCAATTAAAAAACCACAAAGCCTTTATATTTTCTTTCTAATTTAGAAAACTAGGATTTAATATCAATCTTTTTGATGGGCAGATTCCCTAAGAATAGGATTCATGAAATGTAATTTTTTCAAGCCACAGCAATATACTTCATTATATTATTCCCACAGTACATAGTTCTAGATCAGTCTCGCCCACTAATAATCGACACGCAAACGCCCTTGAGTAAGTTTTTTTGAGTGGTCATAATGAATTGGAAGGGGTTCCTCTAAATTTGTGGCCTCTCGAGGATTTAAGGTGTATTACTACTTGATGGAAACTGATTAGGAAGCAGAATAGAGGACAAACATTAGACATAAGTTTTCTATGCAAAAGACAGATAACCGATATATCCCATGTATCGACAGGCCATGTAGGATAAAATATCAAAAAAGTGATCATCTTTCACGCCACGATTCATACTTGACAGCGTCGGAGGTTAACCATCATTACACGTAATCCACGAAAGTGCTGCGGTAACTAAGCGTATTTTGACTGCCGTTAGGAGAATCTAACCGTGCACCGTACCATATTGCTTGTAGGCCAGGGTGCCTTGTTTTAGGATTCGGAGAAACTGTTCTGAGCGGTATAAGGGTAGTAACGCAACACAGGTTCCCATCTGCATGGCACTTGGCTTATTAATCCTTTCTGACGTGCGCTGAGGATTTTCAAGTGGTTGTATTCTGTCCAATTGAATGAACGTATCTGTGTTTTCGAAGCATTACTCGTTTATAAGCTAGTGACAGTGCTATTTCTAGGTACGCAAGACTTCCACCGCAACATCTGAGTCATTTGTGAGCTCCATTAGATAAAGACGTCATGGCAATCTATTACATCTTTCGGTGGGTAATATTGTGGGGTATGTGTATCTTGTATCTCTGTATAAAATGATTGTATGTGCATATTAAATCAAGGCAAGTTTAAAACGGCCATAGAGCGATGAGTGGAATGCTGTTTATGTGAGCATCCTTTTGCCAGCTGGTGATAAATACCTTCATTTCCCTAAGTTCTTCTTTAGCGTACCAAATGACGATGATCATATTCAGCCGGATCTAAGGAGCCTTCGAGAAATATGAGAAACTTGGTAATTGCCAACAAGTATCATAACTATGCCAGAAGGCTACTGAGGTTCAGATCAGTGTAGGGTCCTCGATCTTTAGATTCTGGCGCATTATGGTGGGAGGACTCGCGAAACTCTAGACCTTATAGATTCCCTCGCGTGAGCAAACTGAAGTTTCGGGCCAACATGAAAGCCGTGTATTGACAAAGTCTGGTCATCAAGCACGGACCTACCAGGAATATAAGTTGCGTGAATATACTGTCATAGGGACTAGGAAGCTATTAAAAGGCTAGGTAGAATCCTGTATGCTGAAACAGTGTAAAGAAGAACCTGGTTGCTTAGGAATAATTTAGATGATTGACATCACTGTAGTCACAGATAGAAACAAATGAGTTGCAGGTGGCCGGAAGTGTAGACGTTTGTGAGGGAACAAGAGGGTACAAGCAGAATTGTGATCTGAAGGCGTGACGCAAAGGGCCGATTAGCAGCCGAAATGGGATTAATTAGTTGTCGATAGAAAGCTTTCCCCGATTCATCAATCAGTCTAACACTGAAAAGCCATATAAATACTCTGGTATTTCAAGGGCCCAGATCTAATGTCCAGCAACCTCCTCATCTCTGATACGGTATTTATAGCTCCCAAGTCTACTTATCCTTACGAGTCTAAACGCTATTCAAGTGGATGGACCTTCTTGGAAATCGTGGCAAGTACTAGTTTCACTCACACTCGTAATCCCAAGCCCGCCCGAAATACGTTTCTATGTGGGTCTGGCAACCTTGTTCTGCGACGATCCTCACTATAACCATGTCACTGCCGCATTCACCCCAGCAACTGACTATTAAAAGTTATCTAGTACGCTGATGTCACTACGAGCCCACTTTGACACCAGCTTATTCTACAATTAGGGAAAAAGATACACATCAATTTTTCCCAGCCAATTCAGAAGCCAGGCTCCAGAGGCTGTTCACTAGGTGTCATGAATAAAACGAACTATGCTCTCGCCATGGCGACATCTTATGTGCAAGCCAATATCACTGCAACCGATAGCCCCTCGACTCAGTCACGGCCGTCGATATATAAGGCTATTGGAATCGCTCTTGCCGTGGCTTCGGGAAATTTTATAGGTGCCTCGTTCGTCTTGAAAAAGATTGGCCTCCTAAAAGCCAATGAAAAGTATGGAGAGGCGGCCGGCGAAGGATACGGCTATCTGCGAAATACATATTGGTGGGCCGGAATGATATTGATGATTATCGGAGAAATTTGCAACTTTGTAGCCTACGCTTTCGTCGACGCAATTCTCGTCACACCTTTGGGAGCCCTATCTGTTGTTATCACCACTATTTTGTCAGCCATCTTTTTGAAGGAGCGACTAAGCATGGTTGGAAAGGTTGGTTGCTTTCTATGTATCATAGGATCGGTGGTAATAGTGATGAATGCGCCTACAGAATCCTCAGTGGCAAATATTCAGGAAATGCAGCACTTTGTTATTGCGCCAGGATTCCTAAGTTACGCGGGTGTAATAATAGCTGGATGCATATTTATCGCGACATGGGCATCTCCTCGGTACGGAAAAAAGTCTATGATAGTTTACCTATCTATCTGTAGTCTTATTGGGGGTCTCAGCGTTGTGGCAACACAAGGCCTTGGTGCCGCTATTGTAGCCCAGATTGGGGGGACAGCACAGTTCAACCATTGGTTCCTTTATGTGCTCTTTGCATTCGTTATAACAACTCTAGTAACAGAAATTATCTATCTCAATGTATGTGGAAGATAATAATATCCAAATAATCTTATCGCTAATCATCTACAGAAAGCACTAAATTTATTCAATGCGGCATTGGTAACGCCGACATACTATGTTTTTTTCACCAGCTCTACCATTATAACTTCAGCCATTCTATTTCGAGGATTTGAGGGATCGGTGATATCGATACTCACTGTTGTTATGGGTTTCTTCGTCATCTGCGCTGGGGTCTGCCTTCTTCAGCTCTCTAAATCTGCCAAAGACGTTCCAGATGCCGCCGTCTTTGCTGGAGATTTAGATCAAGTCCGTACTATTGCAGAACAAGAACAACCTGAATCAGAGCCAAAGGCCGATGCTATCCGTGGTACGGCGGCTATTGTCCGAAGGATCTCTAGCTCCCGGCAGAAATGGGAACTTGCTGAGGCAAAGCGGTTGCACGAAGAAAAGCAGCAAGATCTCGAAACTATAGGAGAGAACCAGCGTGTTCACGTCCAGTGGGATGGTCTGAGAAGGCGTACAACCTTTCGCGCAAATAATAGTGTACAACCGCGCCCTCCGGCCCGCTACACGGTTCCTGGATCTCACGCACATCACCCGCCCTTGGGCATGTCTACATTTCCTCTACTATCTGATATAGAGGCAGGCAACAACTCTCCAGTGTCTGGTGTAATAGGCTCTTCTATCTTTGGCAAAATAATGAAGAAGCGTTATCATCCAACTGACTTGACTAGCCATCCTACTGCTCAGGACCGTACCCAAACACTACCTAATCTAGTTCCCCTCTCTGAGATTTCTGTCCTTCATCAGTCGCAAGTTGCCGACGATTTAGATCTGACTTCTCGTGTCAGTGAGCCAGTACTGCCTGATTGTCACCTCGGCCTACCGTTGAAGTTAAAAGAGTCAAATAAGGATGTTAGTCAGTTAGATTCTGGTAACTGTGCAAGGGAAGTTGGCAGTAGAGACTCAAGTCTAGAATCAGAAACTTCGGGGCCTCTTCAGCAATCGCCAAGAAATTTTTCTTTTCAAAGCTCGCTTAGCCGATTCCCGGTAGCAACGCAGTCATTGCCTGACGATCAATTAAGTATTATAAATCCTAAAGATGCGAAACGTGAGATGAAGAGGAGATCAGTCGTCCAGGGCGCATCAGAGGAAGAAAGATTGGGGTTAGTCATGGGCGATGCGAAAAGAGGCGAGGCCATGGGACAATCAGAAGCTTGTAAGTTCGAAGATAAGAAGCAACATAGGGATGTTGATGATGCTCAAAACGAAAAAAAATTATTCGACGGAGAGATTGAAATCAATGATAATGTCAGTGCTATTTCCGGTGTGAATTCAGATAAACACCATTATGAACGTCAACGGCAAAAGTGGAACTCATCTATTGGCCTTGATACCGCTCGCAGCTCCCTCAACCTAAGCTAGCGTTGCCCCGTGATAAAATTGCAGTGTATAAGTCAAGGTCTTGTATGATTTAGTAGCTTGATTAGGTTTGCGTTTAGCGGAGTCGAGGCCTGTATCATCTTCAGTTTCCAGGGAAGCTAGGCACCTGCATTCACAGGAGTTATTATGTAGATTTTCGGTAGCGGGTGGGGCGCCGGGAGCGTGGGCGTCGGCGAAAAAGGTGGTTTTTCATCGCGGGTTTTCGGGATGAACAAGGATAGTGATAGGGAAACAAGAAATGCAACCGATTCAATTTTAGAAGATACTGAATCCATGAAACATATTTCGAACGCCTATGCTCGGAGATTGTGCAAGTTGGACTCGTGAATAGTATCCTTTATTTATGTAGGCCTGGCACTTCGGTCCTTAGCCGTAGTGTGAACTACCGGTACAGCGCCATCATATATCTGATATTCCATGCCGCTGGGGGGCAGAAACTAGCCTCCATGACCAAGTGTGCTTTAGTCGAGGGGGATAAAACCTTAGTTCCAGACTCTAGAGACCGTTGTGGTGGTTTTTTACAACAAAAGAGGATAGGAGCACTGTACAAGGTATGGCCAAGGCCAGTGAAGAGCCCAGTATGCTAGATTGTCTTCGACTCAAGCAGCACAACGAAAACCGAACCATTTAATCCAGAGACCGATTCCATGCTTGCCTCGACCGTGCCACTATCTCACACAGCCGCCACGCTCAGACCATGGTCCTCGGTCTGGATGTGGACTCGAGTCACATCTGCGGGCCCGCGGCTAATGCGGTTGCTCTCCAGTCCATCCCCCATGTCTCCCGCACTTCCGTGGCTCAATCCCTACTACCCGCTAAACGTTAGTACGCCCATATACTGATTACGACCTGCTATGACGACTGTCAACCAACTTGTTTCGGCTCTAGCCGAACCGGTCGCCAGCAAGTGCATTGAGTAGATGCTTGACACAAGGACCCGGGCCCTGGCTATCAACTAAATGGACTAGCCTCATTGGTGCCACGAAACGTAGTTTACAATTTCTCCCGAAAACCAATTTACATATGGACCCTGCTTGCACGTAGTGAACTTTGACTCCTTTTCACTGTGAACACAGAAAGCACATCATCAATTGAATTTCATATTGCCGCTCTAGAAATCATTATTATACTTATACATCTTTAAAATATTGCTATTACTACAGATACCCGTGGTAACCCCAATGGTGGACGAGATTGATATGCAGCCAGAATTTGTTTAGGATAAGAATATCATCGCCCAGCCTATACTCGGTGTTTCATTAATGAAGAAATAATTATGAAAGTTGAAGCATGGAATTTCATTATTCAAAACCATCATCATTCTTCGTTTCATCATTTTTTTGCGTTAGTTGTTTTTTCCATAAATTGTTTGCATCTATTGCATCAATATTTGGGAACACTAGTTCAAAAACATCAGAGTACCATTTTGCTGGATGACCAGTGATTCCCTCTTTTATATTCTATGAAAGTCAGCAAGAAACCAATGTGAACTATCTATGAGCAACAAAAATGACTTACCTCTGGTAACTCAAGCCAGTCAGACATATTATCTTCGGGAAAGATAATAACTTTTGATCCCGCACGCCGAGCTGCTACTGTCTTCTCTCTCAGGCCGCCAATCCGAAGTACTTTGCCAGTGATGGTGAGTTCTCCAGTCATAGCTATAGTTGGATCTAATGGCCGATTTAAAGCCAAGGAGAGAAACGAAGTCGCCATAGTGATTCCTGCTGATGGTCCATCTTTGGAAACTGCGCCTTCTGGACAGTGAAGGTGCACTTTGGCTTTGTCAAAGAAACGGTTTTCGGGGAATCTAGCGGCTATAACTGATTTTGCGAAAGACAAGGCGATTGTGGCCGATTCTTTCATTACAGACTTCAAATTTCCTGTGATAGTTAATCCAGGTCTAGAATCAGACGAGAGTGCACTTTCAAGGATCGTTTCCACATATAGTGCTGCCCCTCCCATTTGAGTCCACGCAAGTCCCATTGCGACACCGGCCGGTGTCGTATCGTACAAACGATCCGAGGTAAAAATTGGGGGACCGACATAATCCTTGAGATTATCCTTATCAATAGCTACATGCACTGTATTGGGAACCTGTAGACCAACTCGAGGCGTTTCAGATGTTTCCTTTCCATCTTTGTTTGATTCGGTGACTGCTGCTTTCCCCTCTTCTGTAAGAGCCTCTGTTTCGGGCAATACTTCTTCTCCAAGATCCTTAACAATCTTTAGCGCAGATTTGCGGTAGACCTTCTCAATATGCTTCTTTAAATTACGGACTCCAGATTCACGACAATAAAATTTGATTAACTCTTCGATGGCACTTCTATTTAAGTTAACATCCGCATTTTTTAAGCCAGCTAATTCCTTTGCTGATGGTCCAAGATATTTCTCTGCTATTGAAATCTTTTCATCTGCAACATAGCCTGAAAGCTCGATCATTTCCATTCGATCCAGAAGCGGTTGTGGAATTGTATCCGTCATATTAGCTGTACAAACAAAAAGAACTTTCGACAGATCGATTGGGACATCAAGATAATGATCAAGGAACGCATTATTCTGCTCTGGATCGAGAAGTTCAAGGAGCGCGCTTGCAGGATCGCCTTGGTGACCTCTACCTAGTTTGTCTATCTCGTCAATCAGGATTAAAGGGTTCTCTGTTTGGCATTTTTTCAACGCTTGAACAATCCGCCCTGGTAATGCACCAACATAGGTCCTTCTGTGACCCTTGATTTCAGCCACATCTGCGAGTCCTCCAACACTGAATCTGTAGTACTCTCTGTTTAGTGCTCTAGCAATGCTCTTGCCTATACTCGTTTTTCCAACACCAGGTGGCCCAACGAAACATATGATTTTACCTTCAACGGTGCCCCTTAGCTTACCGACCGCGATAAACTCTAGAATTCGACTTTTTACATCTTTTAGACCATGGTGATCCTCATCGAGAACAGTTATAGCGTTTTGGATGTTAAAATTCTCCACACTTTGTTGACCCCACGGGATTTGAGTTAGCCAGTCTAAGTAATTTCTTGTGACATTAAATTCGGAAGCAGCTGGCTCTAAATGAGCTAGTTTGTTTAACTCTTCCTCAAAAACTTTCCTGACAGCCTCCGGCATTGCTAATTTCTCACTTTTTTCCTTAAATTTGGTTACTAATTTATCTTTTCCATCTGATTCAATTCCAAGTTCTCTTCGAATCCCTTTCATTTGTTCCATTAGCCAGTATTCTCGTTGTCGATCTGATATTGCTTTCTCTACATCCTTTGTAATTTTAGATTGTAGCTTTGCATTCATGAGTTCTTTTTTTACGACCACTAAAGCTTTCTTTAATCTTTCCTCCACATTGAGAGTCTCAAGAATTTCTTGTAAATCAGTCACGTCACCCGAAGATACTGCTGCTGCAAAGTCGGCCAGTTTAGCTGGCTCCGTCAGGACATTTCCCGAAGAATGACTCATAGAAAAGGTGGAAATCTGATCTCTGAATAAACTATTCAAGCTTGCTACGTCTTTAAAAACATTCACAATCTCGTTTGTTAAGGCTCGGATCATGGAACATTTTGGATCGTGTGCCTCCTCAATAAGATTTTCAATTTTGGCAATACTAACTGGATACTTCTCCAAAAAAGCTGTAGGTTCATAGGTTGTTGGCTTATCAGTATTTTTTTGTTGAATTGCCTGATCTTCGACCCCTGAAGTAACATTTCTCTTTTTTTCTGATACTAAATCCTCCTTTGCGGTTTTCGGTGGGATGACATCAGGAATTGTTACATCTGATAGTGTAGCCTCTGTTTTCTTGACCTCTACAAGACTTGGACCAACATTGGGGGTTGTTAATGATGTTAATTTTACACGCCTGTGTGGGTAGAATATAGCTGTGATGCCACCACTCTCGCCATTATTAGTGTAGGCGCCCGTGATCTGTGCGAATATTCCAGTATCATAAACATCATTTATATCTTCAATAACATCACCCTCCGAATTCTCATCTTTAAAGACAAAAGCTCCTATATATGGTTGGCCCCTTTTAAGCAAGTCCTGTATGGCTGCAATTACATGCTTATTTCGAATTGTAACAGGTTTGTAAAAACCGGGAAATAAGGGACGTTTTGAAAGAGGTATTGCGAGAACTTGTGGATATATTTCAGGCGGCGAAACTTTCTGTAAAGCTTTATCTGAAGAGCCTTTACGTCCTTTCTTAGTTGATTCCATACCACTATCAACCGAACTTAAAGTAGGGGCGCTACTGCTTGATTTCTCATCACTTGCGTTATTTGTGGGTGAGTTGCTGGTTGGAGAAGGAAGCGCAGTACTTTTTGTCTTGTTGTCATTTAAGCTTTCATCACTATTTTCGCTGGATACTGACTCAGAATTATCCTTTCCACTTTCTTCTGACACTTCATTAGGAGGTCCTTTAGGAGTCTTTGGAGGCTCTTTCCGTTTATCTGAAGATGTAGAGAATTCGGCGCTGCGATGAGCTATTGAGAGAGGTAATTTCGGTTTTACTGAAGTTATTAAGGTTGTCTTAATTCGTGGTAAGTTTGAAGAATAATTAAATTTGCTTGCTGTGTTAGAATATGTTATAAGAGATCTTCTTGCATCTCGGAGTGCAAATCGCCATGTATAGTTTCGGCCGTATAACATTGCTTTATTGAAAACAATTTTTTCGTCGCAGAGATCAAGCTTATGCCTTGCGCAAATTCCGAGAGCCAGTCCTAACACCCGTGAAGAGCCTTGCTGAAGTGTTGATGTTGATGCTAAAGAGATGTTCGACATGCACTTGTCATCGTTAGGCTCGATGATGGTGTTTACAGGGATCTTATATATTAGCCGAGAGATGATGGTAATCGACAAGGTATCAGTGAATCCACGTTCAACAAGGGTAAAGCTTCTCAGAGCAAAGAATGTTTTTTCTGCATTCCTATTGCCGCCCCTTTCATCTATCAATCACTAGTCCGGTTGTAAAAATAGTCCAAAATATTGAATTACAGAAAACTCTCCGTCCCAAATTACCATTGGAAGACTAGATGTCTTGCCTGATAATCCGAGTAAGTCACCTTAAAGCTTACCCTGTCAGATATCCAACGATCGTGAGTTTCGTCTCATTTAGAGTCCTCACATAACAAACTTTCGACCCTCCAGGGCAAAATTATATTATGAATATCAATTTGATACTTTGTTTGAATTGATTTCGCTTATTCAGTTCATATGCCCCAGGGTCCTTGCAGGTATACAAGGCTATGATATTTAAAAATGGATAAAAAGATTCGGTGTGAATCTTCAGGTTGTATGCGTTTACGTCCAGTAGACTTCAAATTTTTTCTACCTAGAAGTAAATCAAAACTTTTGATCCAGTGTGAATTCCATCCTATTCTCTTCCCGATCGCTTCATCCTTCAACTGACTGTTATTACAAGTTTTTCTGCAAGCCGGAACTGTTCAAAGCAGTCTTTAGTTAGTATCCACTTATTAATTCTCTTCATACCATGGTCCTGTTCATCATGGCTTCCAAAGACCTATCTTTTGCTCGTCGCAGCACTTCTCCTCGTCACTTAGTCCGCTGAGGATATACGAAGACCACTGGTTTGATAATATGTGACGAATATTCACACTGGCACTTGGGGACTATTCTAAAAACCTGTCAGTGGTGTCCCCTACGAACCTCCAGCTCTCACAATAGAGTCTATAGTGCCGAGATTGAGTAACAAAGTCCCCACTTCGATGAGGATTCCCAATCGCTTTCGCCGTCTGTGTCATCTTCATCTATCAACACATTCCCCTATCACCATTATCATGAAGCTAACCACAATCAGATCAGACATTAAGGACGAAGCCCTTCTCATCACTCTCCCTTGATTCTGGAGGAAAAGCCATCCGGAGAGTTTCCGGAGCGCACCAAGCACCCGATACGGATATTGTGGATTGTATCAAGATGGCCTCAACCGTTACAAGAAGGAAGATGTAGATAAGTATGCGCACCTTGTGTGGTCCCGGTGCCTAGGCCTCGCCTGGCTGGGGCTGCAGATTTTCTGTACTTATTCCTGCGCATGCAGTATACATTGCTACAATCACAACGCTATTTTGGGATGTACATGAGTAAGAAGAGTGATCACAATATGTTGATAGTGAGTTAGTCACGTGTATTGGTGCAGCTTGGAGTGTCGCCCTTGAGGCTGACACGCCTGTATCTAAAAAAGAAAAGATATCACTAAATCATAGAGAGACCCATTGCGTACGCGTACACGTGCATATAACCAACCGACAGCTACCGTTATTTATTCTCATTTGGGGGTAGAAGATTCCGTGGAAAAGGTGGCCGAATTCCACGGGTAATTACAGAGCTGAATGGCTATTCATCACGGGCAACATATTAATGATCTTTAAAGAAAAACGAGAGGTAAGGAGCTCTGTACAAGGCTTGGCCTGGGCCAGGGAGGAGCTGAATGTGCTAGATAGTCGAAGACTAAAGTAGTACAATAAACACACATCTCTCTCTCCCTGGCACTTCAGATCTTCCACTTCGGGGGCTGCTCACAACTGTGGATGTAAGTCGAGGTCGATGTGTTCAATTCTCATCTAGATTTGTACTGCTATGGACTGTTTTATATTTTCGATGTACGTTGAAAATTGTGCTGTAAATAACTCTTTTATCCATCCTTTATCTTATCGGTCATTATGTTGGCAGATTTGATTTGTCTATTTGAGAAAAAGCAATTACACGGAAAGATGCGTCGGCTAGCATAACCAGATTCAATAATTTTTATCAACGCACAAGTTTCTTTCAATCACCATAATTAGTTCTAAATTTCACTCTTCAAATATTTTCTAAGAATGATAAAGCGACTAAAAAACTGATATGAACGCCCACTTTCTGCATCCTCGACTCGAATAATGTTGTTACGCCACCACTAAGATGATAAAAATACTTTTATTTGAGCAACGCGACGCATTATCTCAGGGACTAATTCTAGTAGCTCTTAAAATTAATGCCTGGAAGAAAAAAATTCGCTCGAAAAACACACTTTGTGCCATGACGTATGTGCAAGGCAACAGCAACACTTGCAGCATACGACAGAATGAGAAGGTAGATCTTTAAGAATAAACCGGAAAATATTCGTTTGGCAGTTAAATGAATCAAACTAAAACTACGAAATGAAGAAGTGTCTTTCCTATATTGATTGGAAGTGGAGCTGCAATAGTAAAAGAGAATGTGGAATTCTAGTTAAATAATTAATTTCTACAAACTAGGAATCACCCCATTGAGCCAGCAATAAATAAGATTTTGGGAATCGAAGAGTCTCTTCACTTGGAAAACACGCAATTGTTCTAATTTATGCTCTAATTTCAACCACAGTGACAGACTATGGCGAGCTGCAACTCGTAACTACGACTCTAATCATTATCTAGATTAGTGTCAAAATTCTGTTACTATTCTAGCAACTCTGGGTGCAGACCATCCAGAAGAGAGGTTTTAGTATCATTGTAATCAATGACCTATTTCAGCAAAAACCAGAAAATCATATCGCAGGAGACTTTACCTTGAAATTGGAGTGACAGTGCAAAAAATATAGAGAAAGATGATAAACAAAGTTTGCGCATTCGATCAACTTTTTTCTGAGACAAATAAATCACGCCATAGTATAGCTTTGTCCAAGACAATAGCTAGAAAAAAATACGAACATAATACCATATGAGTCTGAACAATATAAATCTAACAATCATTGGGAATTTAAAGGTCACTATTTAATATCTTTCTAACTATCAAGGTTTCTCAGTATAACAATAGATAAGAAAATTCTGGTGTCAACAGGTACAAGGAGATCTGAATGTAGACTATAAAACTCACAACCGAATCCCGACTGGACAGATTAATTGGCTACTTAGATATGTGAGGTGAGAAAGAAACTTGTATAGCTCGTACATTAAGGATCTTCTAGAGACCATTATCAGAGGAAAAGAGAAAATCCGAGAATCCGCATGTGATAAAACATGGGTAGCTTCTTTTTTTTGAAACCCTCTTCATTAGGAGATGTAGGAGACACTCTCACCTCAGAGAACTTCAAACTTGAGTGCGTAGAATGAATTTTCTATAATATTCGCCTGGAGAAGTTACAGAAAGGCTATATCTTCACTGAGAGTGTAACCAGATTAATCCAACCATCTCATCATGTACAAAATAAATTGGGCCATTTTTAATTATTACACGCCTACTACGAAACACAATTACTTCGTTGGTATGCTTTAAAATCAGGAATTAAAACGCCTTACACTTCCACGCACGAGCAAAAAATGCTTCCAAACATCATCTCATTATCTGAAATGAAATGCACTGGAAAAAAAGTTTTTTAGATACTCATCCATTGATGTGATGAAATTTTCAGTTAAGAGTGCTGGGTTTGTAATTCGGCATCTACGGTGAAGCCACATGGCTTTTAATGGGTCTCCAAATCTATGTTGTTATTTACTAATTATCACCGCGTACCCCTTATTTTAATGAATATCAGGATCAAATAAGCTTCAAAACACTACTCCATAGCAATTTTATTCTGACGAACTTGAACTTCGACCTCGGAACGCAGGTATACTAACTAATAACCTTACCCACCGCCTGACATACGCATCAAAACCTGTTATCAAAGCCTAAATTAAAGATGGGTAAATGCTTAAAATTGATGCACTAAAAAGCTCACTAATTTATCAAAGCTCAAAAGAAGCGCAGAAAACAAGACGCCACGAGCATACGCCAGATTACGGGCACCAGAGGTTAAATTTTTTACAATGAAGAATCGTAAAGGTTGGCCAGGATTAGCATTTAGACCAAACAGTCAACAATATCAGCGAGGCATCACTGTAGTTGAGTCCATCAAGTCTGCAACGCGCGCATTTGGATTCATAGACATTCGTTCCATCATATCGCGCATCCTTTCAGATTCTCCACCGTCAACATATCTTGCGTGTTGTTGTTCCTGTTCAATTTTACTGAGCAGCTGAGCACCTTCAGAACGACGATTATTAACAAAGGTTTCCACATTTTTTTGTAGGCTATTCACTGTGTCCATCATCTCGCAATACCAATCTTTAGCCGACTCCAGTCCTGTCGTAAGTTCCAAAAACTCTTGGTAAACTCGTTGATACTTGCACTTAATGGCTGAGCGCTGCCGTGTTAGACTTTCGAGTTTTCGCTGCTCGGCTATGACTCGTTTATCTTGTAAAAGAGTATTAAGTATTGCGGTAAGCTCCTTCATCAAAGCTGACTGCTTGTGATTCGCCGAAAGCAGACGACTCTGATGAGGTCGGAATTTCTCAAGCTCAGCTTGGAATAACTCGGTCTCGTAATTTGAGATTGATTTTTTGTTCAAAATGAGAACCTGTGAAATGTCGTCGTTGCGAACCTACATCAGATTAGCAATGATTTATATCATCAAAAGACATCTCAATGGACCTTTTCTTTCAGATCTTTAAGCACCTGAGCTCTCTCACGCTTTATAAGACTCAACCTTTTGAGTATGTCCTCAGCCCTTGCGACTTGATCCATGACGCTAGGCCCGTCACTTCCGAAGTCAGTGTCTAGAAGGTTGCCTTCTCCTGTTGTATTCTCTACAACTTTCTTTCCATGGGTGTTTATCAGGGCATTTTGGAATAATACATCCGCATCGCCATTCTGACCAGCAGAACACATCTCGTCGATAGTAGCCCTGTGGCGACTGAGTCCGGCATTAAGCTGACTATCACTGCGTGAAGCCTCTTCGAGCGCCTCTCGGTAGCTCTTAATCTCACCCCTCAGTGTTTTTGTGAGCATTGAACTTGGCTGTTGAGTCCAGTCAACTTCATGTTTGGAGCGCATTTTTTCACAGATGCTTTCCTCCATGTCTAGCTGAAGGGAGCATTTATCCAAAATTCCTATAATCTTTTCGCGGCTTGATTTCAGATAGTCTAAAGCAGGTTGTGGAGCTTCATAACTTGCGACATCCTGACACCAGCTTTTTAATTCATCATCTACCATGAGTTCTTGGTCTGTATTACCCTTTATAATTTGTAATGCTCCTGGCAGATGAAGGTAGTCTAAGCTAGCAGCCATTTCGCTGTTTGCTATCTCGGCACGTTCTGTCTCTGCTCTTATCAATTTGGCTTTCTCCTCATCATATAAACTAGCCGACTCGGTTACAGAAATAGGGACAATCCTCTGAAATATATCAGGTCCTGTAATACGTTGAATGTCTTGCCCTGCATATAACTCGCTAATGGGTATTGCCTTAGCCGCTGGTAGTTTTGGTATGGTGGCTAAGCCCGCCCCAGTAGGCACGGTTTGATGGTAAATATAATCATTATCTTTTGTAAGTTCCGAAAGTTTCTTCTGAATAATCGTAAGATGCCGCTTAACAATGTCCAGAAATATCATGCCAGATTCTGCAGTAAGGTTTGAATTTACTGGTACTGTTCCTGGAAAACTATTTGCGAGCTTGCTTGCTTCTTTAATAGACGATTCAGCAATTTGAAGACGTGATATGGCAGTTCCGTGTGAGTTAGCATCATCATCAGCTAGAGCTTGGTAGTACTGTGCGAGGGATGTCATATATGCAGATTTGATCTAATGAATTCAGTGTTGATACGATCGGCAGTTTAAATTTGGATCATACCTGTACAACTAAGAGCCAGACCTTCTCAAAAATAGCTTTTTTAACATTCTCTTGTGTCCCCTCCAAGACTTGAGTGTAAAGAAAGCCGGCCTGACTGGCAAGTTTTGCTAGCAACCCAATTTTTTTTCCGTCCGCAATTTGCTTTTCTAAAAATACCTCTTGTCCTTGTGCCAACATGATATGTATCAATGTTTTAACTGTATCACGGCTTAGATCGGTGGAGGGAGCATGTAGAAAGTTTTCATTGATGTATGTTAGCATACCCGCCGATGCTTGAAAAGAGTGATAAGCAGTCTTTAGTCCAGAGTCCTCGGATCGATTTTGATGGGCTGCATGGCACGAAAGTACAGCTGCTATATTGAATATGATAGATGCCTTCTCGTATGCGAGTGAGTACTGAGAGGTGGGCTTGTGTGTGAAAGCGTCGAACCTGTATAGAAATTAGGCTACACATTCAAAACGCTCTTAGACAAAAGTATACCAGGTAAAAGAGATTTTGATATGATTCTCATCAACAGGGAATCTAAGATCCAAGAGCTCAAGCTGTCCATAATATCTGTAGAGTAGATCTCGCCCCGAGGCACTTTCCTTACCTGCACCACGCATATCCTGACGGAGTCTGTTTAGCGTAGCACATTCTTCAGCATAACGCTCTGGATCGTCGCCGTACGTCTGCCTAATATATTGCTTGAGAGGCTGAATCCAGTCAATCTCATTCGTAGCCTTAAGAGGCACCGAAATCATCGGAGCTTGCATGTCGTACTCTGCTCAAGTAGATCTACGGCCTACCTTTCCCCGATGAACCGAGATACAGACGTGAAATTTTTGGTCTTTTTTTAGAATGTTTGGGGACGGCTATTATTCTCGTAATGGTGCACAATTATCGGAAAGAATAGGCCTTCGGGTGGGGTGATGGAGATGGTATATGTACTACAAATATAGATAGTTCTTGAAGTTTATTTCCGACGAAATAGTCCGATCTGCGGATTCAGGTCAAGTAGGGTTACGCTGATGAACGCGCTTTGGAGCAGATAATCTCAAGTTATTTGGCGATAGTACCTGTCATATAGAAAAGCCCTTGGTACTGTAGGACGATGTTGTTGATAACAGCGCTGACCCAATCATGCGCGGCGGTAAGACCTTGAGCTCCTGTATACCGCCAATGCGGCTATTGTAACTACCCCAAATTTGAAAAATTCGACCACGGCAGCAAATTATAGATTGTGATTGCATCATATTTATATTTGTAAATTTATTATTCTACTTAAAAAAATGTGAGAATGGGGGATCGTGGAGTGGCGCGCGTGACAGTCATTGGCGCGGAAGGAAAATCCGGTCGGTGCAGTTGAGTGTGAGCATCGCATGAGCTACACTAGTAGACAGGCGTATGAAAAATGCTCTAGGTATTGACAAAAATCAAAGAATTTTTATTAAGCTCAAAAGGCACGGCCCACAGTACCCGCCTGTTTAGGGTGGTCCGCCCGAAAACTTCATCGACACTGAAGTTCACTCTCAGATTACATTAAACTAGATCTATACTTTTGTTCCTACTGAGTCAGAAAGTGGGTAGGCCGGCAAAGACGAATTCTTCACCTTCCACTGGTGCCGGTGTAATCGCTCAGTACGATCGCATATCTGGAATAGCCAAGAAGAATCGCATCCGAATCGAAGTCTAAAGCAACCTCAAGCATATCTAAATTCGACGACTTCTCGTCAATATCGGAACTATCTTTCTCGCGTGAGTCCTCCACCTCAATCCTGCTACACCACTTCGCCTCAAATACCGATAATGGCGTTACCCCAATAGCAATCGGGCATTTGCCTCATCAAAAACCGGCCATTTCCCACTACACATTTACGATGCTATGTATACCCGCGAGGAGGAATTCAAGTCATAATCTACAAAGCTCGGGTCTTGGTCGATGGGGACCGTTGTTCTAATGGGGCTTCATATCTTGAGGTAGGATAGTCAGCTGGGACTTTGGATGAACCAGTGAAGAAGCCACGAATGGGCATGCTGGGACGCACATTTTCCGAATGCTTTCGACTTACGAGTGTCTGTAGGCGTAGAAGCAACAGTTTCGGATAGTGCAACCGACACTTTAAAAATAGGCAACGATGGAAGGTGTTTCAGTCCGCCTCTTAGTCGTCATCTCCCCAAATTAAGGCCTGGGTAGCCTGGACACCTACCTCACTCCAGAAATGGAGGACCATGAGGCCATATCTCACGTGGTGGCTATATACAAGATGGCAAAGGCATGTTGGGATAGCTAAAGGTTTTTCATGTTTTCCCTTTAGTGGATATTAACGGTTGAGTGAAGGGTGAAAGCCTCTAGCACTAAGTTCTCAAGTGGTATCAGCGAATGCACCCACTACATGAGTAGTCCAAATGTCAAACTGAGCGATCGTCGTATATAGTCGTTGGGGAAACTAGTCTTCTCCGTGTCATGCTCTTTGAGTGCAGGGCTTGTGCCCGTCACAAATAACCTTTCATTCATTCTCTGCCATAGAGCTTAAGTATTGTCACTCGTGATAGCTGTTAAAAAACTGGACTATAAATCACAATCCTAGTCAGACTTGAGTATTTGCTAAGGACTGCATAGAAATTTAGGAGCATGAATTATTTTATCGGATAGCTCTTTAGAAAATTTATTACCGCCGTGTTTCTACTTATGAGAATTCCGATGATAAAGATGCTTATCTAACCTCCTGGGATTCTGGCCCTATTTGAATGCTTTTGATTATTCAATTCAAACTCAAGCATGGCTGAAAAAATCAGTATTTATAATTATCATCAATATTGTCGGTCCATTCTGAACACGTGAAAGCGTACGCAACGGATCTCTCAGTGAGGTGTTGGTTCTTGTTCTTTGATACAGGCGTGTCAGCCTCAGGGGCGACATGCCAAGCTGCACCGAGCCACGCGACTATTTAACCATCAAGATATTGTGATCTCTCTTCTTGCTCACTTACATACCAAAATAGTGTTGTAGCAAATAAAATTACAATTGAATGACCGTTGGGAAGTATCTCTATTTGCTATACGCTGAGTGCAGTACATCTCTGCATTGGAGAGTCATTGTCTTGATGGCTCAGACAATACTACGAACTTCATGTTCACAATGTCCTTATACGGAGAAGATGTAGACAAAACACAATTCACATTGGAACCTTTCGTTTTACTTTACATCAACCCAACGAGTAGGCACAATAAGGCCAGTGGAAAAATGCACGTAATTTTAATAAGCGTATGATCGGCCAATTCTATTTATCAACTTTATATGCTTGCATGTAGGAATTTATACATGTCTTCATAGGAGTTTGTGACGTAAATATGATAATTCTTCAGCATCTCCGTGAGTAATAACCATCACATTAACTCCCGCTTATATAACATGAAAGATTGTATCTAATAAACGCAAGTGTCGATATTCTAATTAAACTTACATAACGTTAAATTTGTTGTCAGTTAGCTTTTAAAGTACACTTTTAATCTGATAATTTATGACACGGTAGAAGGGCGAGACAAACAGCGTTTTTAGGGTTTACAGATTTTAAGATTTTTTCTATAACTGGTCAGCGATATTTAACTTTGATTTATTGAGAGTGATTTTTACTGATAAGGAATTCAAGACTGAGCTTTGAGTTTTAGGTTTCTTTCGTCTCTCCACTATCCCCGGATTTAGCGTTTTTGTTATCGGTTTTGTTGTTGCCATTAGAATTATCTTTGGATTGGTCAGGAGTTTCAGTCAATTTGTGCCAGACAGATTTAAGGAACCCTTCTCCATTAGAAGCATCCGAGGATGAACCTGATGGGCTACTTTTTATGGTTAGGAAAGTAAAGTTCAAAAAATTAGTGATTTACCTTGATTTTCCGGGAGTCATGAATCGTATAGCTGTTCGATCGTTTAACTCATCGGCAAGCATCTCAATGATGGTTCTCTGATTAGCTGTTAAGTACTTTGGTATTGCAACTTTAAATTCGATCCTCAGGTCCCCGAAGCTTCTTCGCCTGTCATCAAGTTTCTTCATACCACGGCCGCTCAATGTGATCGTATCACCAGTTGCAGTACCAGTGGCAATCTTTATGTTAACCTCTCCATCCAAAGTTGGAACCTTGATCTCACCGCCCAGCAAAGCTGTTGTGAGTGGAACAGTAGCCGTATATAGCACATCATGGCCAGTTCGTTTAAATTTAGGGTCCGTTGCTACTCTAACAAGGACATACAAGTCCCCACGTTTAGTCCGTATGTTTGGATCAGAGATTGTGCCTGTAGCAGGAGAGTCACCTTCGCCGTCGATTCGTAAACGCATACCATCTTCGATACCGCCAGGTATGTCAATATTAAGAGTTTTACGTTCTCTTGTGACACCATTTCCAGAACATGTTCGACATTCACCACCTCTAGGAATTGAACTTCCTTGACCATCACAGGCGCTACAAGATGAGGCCATTTGAAATCCACCAGAAACAAATTGAATCCTAGTACCGGTTCCATTACACTGCTTACAAGAAGACCGTTTTATGTCCGGTTTAAGGCCACTTCCGGAGCAACTCTTGCAAGTATTTAGAGGGTTAATGACAATTGTTTTGGAAGTACCCTTTGCTGCTTCGATAAAAGATACACTGGTCTGAATCTCAACTGAGTCTCCAACGAGAATTTCTTCATTCTGGAAGGGATTTCGACCACCTCTTCGTCGACTCCCCGCAGCATTCCCGGTAAAGTTCTTGAATATTTCTTCAAAATTAAAATCCATCCCGAAGCCCCCTCCAAAAGGGCCTCCAGCCCCGAATGGTCCGTTACCCATACCAGGCCCCCCAGGGTTTCCGGCATTAGCACCTTGGTCAAATGCAGCTGATCCATACTGATCCCAAGCGGCCTTTTTCTGGGGATCATTCAAGAGTTCATAGGCTGATTGGGCTTCTGCAAATTTTTCCTTGGCGTTCTGCTCTTTACTGGTATCCGGATGAAACTTTTTTGCCAAACTGTAATATGCTTTTTTTATCTCCGAAGAAGATGCCTGGTTGCTGACACCTAACACCCGGTATGGATCCTTGGTTGCCTGGAGTTTTGAGCTAGCGTAAAATGTCTAAAAAGAGTATTAGTGAATCATTGATATATTAATTAGATTAACTTAATCTTCGAGACAGTGATGTGACGGGCGCTAGAAATTTCGGCCTTTGTGAGCTTCTAGTTTTAGAGCTACATATCATTCGGGTTTGTCGTTTCCGTGTAAGTTCAGAGCAAAGATGTTGTACGCTAGAAACATGCGTAGTATTCCTGACTCGACTAGCTGTTATGGCTTGATTAATCAGATTTGGGGGCGATGCTTTCATTTTTGAATATCTCTGTATGCTGTAGAATTAGTAGAATGTTGAGACTGACAGTACTCAATAAATCGTTTAAAAAGGATAATCTCTCTCTCTACCTTAGCGTTGATGCTATCGAGAGTACAGAATAAATTTATTTCCGAGCTGCATGGGCTGTCCAATCATGTACATCAAAGCTTCATGGTGGGGCCAATTTTAATGGCCCTTATTTTCTAGAGATTCTGCTTACCTATGCACCTAGCTTCTAGCATGTTCGACAACGAGTGATTTACCTTAATCTTTGAGCTCGGGGAGCATGGTTGACGCGCGATAAAATCGCACGGCTGTCCAGCAAACCTACGTCAGCCCTTTGACTTCACTATTCTCCTAGAGCTAAGTTCAGTCAAAATTCTCAATACCAAAGCTGGCCCACGAGGCAATTAATAAGGAACCAGCTCTTCATCAATCTCTCACTTCTATCAATGACAATTCCAACTAAGGCCTTATTTAGCTTACAGGTACGACCTGGTACTTTCGTTTATAAATGGTCATAATTTCCGTCGATTTAATCTCAGACCTTACCTGCCCTGTAAATGCGCACCCACGACAAGTTAAATACCGTTCGGGGGAGAAGAATCGCGGCACATAAACTAGGGATGAATTTCTTTGGGACAGGCGTTAGAGATATCGTTTAAGACAGGAAAGATAATGTCAGGGAGGGGCCCAACCTCAAAAAGGGTGTTAATTTGAATTTAGGGAAGGTGATTCTCACGTTGAAGAAAACCTTGCGCACTACGAGATGTTAAACAGAATGCTAGCATGACAGTAAACAAAGTCTTGGCTTGATAGTGCAGTGATACTTAACCTTTGCAGGCCTTCCTAGTAGAGTCTAGTAGCTCAGAAATCTAGCCCACTTCAGACAGGAGATCGCTGACTTGAATTATTTTTTTGCGTTGGATTCTACTTGCGTATGCAGCTATCTAGCCATGACAAAATATTTGAAAAAGTGCAGATTAGATGATTTAATTTAAAAATAGAGCACTGATGTATCTGGTCTCATCTGCAAGTACCACTGCGAAGTTATAGCGGCTTTTCCTTCACCCCAAGTCAACCCTCATCCGTGAATACCTGCCCAGAGGAATGTCTCAAAAACTCTGGGTTATCCAGACATGCCTCCATTATCCACTGAATTGTCCCCGCGCGAAATATGGTCTGAGGCGTCTCCTTCCCAAGTGGAGTAGGTGCCCAGGCTACCCAACCTATGCCGAAGATAAACATCAGGGGGCGAACTAAGGCGCTTTCCATCTTTTTTTTTTCTTTTTTTTTTAATTATTTAATGTGTATTCAGCTATCTAGCTATGACACATGACCGGTGCTATGTATACATGTGGGATGACTCTTTTGACGTTAGAGACACTCATACTCTGGATTTCATTTGCAAATACCACTATGAGGTATGTTTGCTTACACAAACAGTCGACCCTCCTCCGTTAGTACCCACCAAAGGGAAGGCGCTTTCCATCGTTGGCTTGTCTTAATAGTGTCAGCTACACTCTCGCAATCGAGGACTTGGCGCGCAAAATGCTCTTCAATTTGAAAAATTCATAGCCAAAGCTCAATATCTCGTCCGTTTTGAGACTGCATCCGCTGTTTGTACCATCTAGTAAATTTGTCCTGATTCCTCTCCAATCTATTCAGAACTGCTTCCGGGATTTTGGTCCACGATTCTTCTCCCCCGGACGGTATTTAACTTGTCGTGGGTGCGCATTTACAGGGCAGGTAAGGTCTGAGATTAAATCGACGGAAATTATGACCATTTATAAACGAAAGTACCAGGTCGTACCTGTAAGCTAAATAAGGCCTTAGTTGGAATTGTCATTGATAGAAGTGAGAGATTGATGAAGAGCTGGTTCCTTATTAATTGCCTCGTGGGCCAGCTTTGGTATTGAGAATTTTGACTGAACTTAGGTCTAGGAGATTAGGAAGGTCACCATTTAGTAAGGAATGACGCAGAAGCTAATTAACAATTTGTAGGACATGTAGTGATACTTGTTACGGGAATACTCCCTTGTGTGTGTTCACAAAGTCCCCCGTAGTCTTAGACTCAGTAGGGACTATAATAAAAATCTAATCTAATCTAATCCCTTGTGTGTGTAATGTCTGTGCCAGTCCGGTAGGGATGGAATCTAGGGTCTAGCCAGCTATAGAGACTACCAAGGGTGTAGATTGGAACTAGTTGCTAAGCAACAGAGACTGATATGATCGGTGTCGTTAATCAGAATCCCTCATGTAAATAGCAAGATATAGTAGACCTTGCGTCTCTAGATTTCCTTAATTAACTGATTTTATTCTGGACTTGCTCTGCTGTATACCAACACCAATTGATCCGGCGAAAATACTGGCTGCGATCTTTATCATAGATGTCTTTACCCATCTATAGAGGGGTGTGAGGTTCAATGAAAATCTTGGAACAAATCATTGAAGGCTATGATGAATTGCCCTGAAGAAGTCGCCCGAATCATACAGTAGATCTGGAGCTATAGTTAGCCGTATAAATTCCGGCTTTATCGAGAGATTGGATTTGTATGTTTCTGTATGATTTACCGTAATACAAGAGTCACTGACTATCTAGCATATTGGGCTCCCCTCTGGCCCAGGCCACACCTTGTCCAGCGCTGCTATCCTATTTTATTACTTGTAAAATCATTGATATTTTGCCCGTGATGAACAGCCATTCGGCTCAGTGTTTACCCATGGAATTCAACTACCTTTTCCATGGAATCTTCCACCCAAATTTTTTTAAAAGTGGTATCAATGGAAACTGCGTGCGCGGGAAAAAGGCCTCAAGAAACCTGCAGCCCTAACCTGGCGAGGCCTAGGCACCAGGACCACACAAGGTGCGCACACTTATCTACATCTTCCTTCTTGAAACAGTCGAGGCCATCTTGATACAATCCACAATATCCGTATCGGGTGCTTGGTGCGCTCCGGAAACTCTCCGGATGGCTTTTCCTCCATAATCAAGGGTGAATGATGAGAAGGGCTTCGTCCTTAATGTCTGATCTGATTGTGGTTAGCTTCATGATAATGGTGATAGGGGAATGTGTTGATAGATGAAGACGACACAGACGGCGAAAGCGATTGGGAATCCTCATCGAAGTGAGGACTTTGTTACTCAATCTCGGCTCTACAGACTCTACAGCGAGAGATTGAGGTTCACAGGAGACCCCACTGATAGGTGTTAAGAGTAGTTCCCCTAACTTAGGTTGAATAGAAGTACGAGGATTGTAACAAATAATGAATGACTGAGAATATCGGACTGTGACGATGTAAGATTATAATATTACATAAATGCTTGATTGCGAGATCAGAGATCAAAGGATTGAGAAGCTGGAGAGCTACTATGTGGCAGCTTCAGCTTCCTTAAGTCGAACTCGAGACAGTACTAGAACTCAACTAAAGCTATAACAGATAAAGTCATGACGCCAGCACCTCCATCTCTAACTGTCAGAGTTTTCCCGAGAATTTTCTTAAAAATTTCTCTTATCACCATTTCCTGAGAACCTTCTCCTTGAAACCTCTTCGAGGATGCCTGGCCATAACACATGCTCTGATTGTTCATCATAAAATCAAAGATTTTTGTGTTTAGTTCAATGGGAGTAGCTTTGGTGAGAATTAGCTGTTCACCAACGAGATTGATATCAATAAACTCAGTTGCTGTCTGAGGAAGGCCGATCTCTTTTAGACATGACAATGTATTTTTCTCTTTTCTGGCGTCATTAGATCTACCTTCGTCTTCTATTATGTCGCTCATCTTAATGGTTATTTAAAAAAATCAAATTCTCTTAATTTAGGTTAGGAGATTAGCCTGTGACATGATCAGGGAGTGGGTTGGATGTGGGAGGATAGCAAAAATCTAGCGGTGAGGTGGTTGTTGGTGTAGGTCGGCACAATCATATGAGCTTCGAGAGAAAAATTTGATTGGGGATAGGATTCTGTTTTTGCAGAGATATCCTTCACTCTCGTTAGAAGAACGCCAATTTAGAAAGTAGTGCTACTGAGTTCGCAGTGGATGCTTTACTCGTCGTGTTTGCGGCACTCAATTGCAACAGGGCGACCTATCTAATAGGAGAAGTTACGTTTTAAATGTTTTTTTTTTAATTCATTTTATTGTCCCGTCTGAGTCTATGACTATGAAGGACATGCAGGTCCTCTCTGCCTACAGGCCAAGGATACCTATACCAGTAGTATATCCCCTCCTATGCCTCCCACACAGCTCCCCTCAAACAGTACCACCCCTCACAAGTCCTCATTCGATCATACAATAAGAGTGTAGTGGATTCTATATATCACGTGATACCATGTACTTAATGCTAGATAGCACCACAATAAATCTACATGCCCACAAGAACGCATTCGAATCCGAACGCTACCAACGAACCCATACCATTTACGATAGATACACAACTGGAAACTGACCGTCAAGTCGGCGACAATGCCTGCTTTAAGGCGGAGGAAAAAGCTCAACCCCAGCCCAGTAGGGGCTGCCTCATCCACGCGCATTACAAAGCGTAATAAACAATCATCCCCAACAGTCATCGCGGAACCTCGGATGCCTGTTGAACTAAATCAAGTTCCCCCCGCCCCTCTAGACATGCACATAGATTCTGAGGATGAATACATGGACCTCGAGGCAGAAGATGACGCGCTGCAGATTTTGTCTCAGCCGCCGTCAAACAGCCATATTCCGTCCGTCCCTTTACAGCGGACTACGCCCAAAGTTCCGAAGATGTTGTCAACTCAGGATCAAGGCCTTGCTTCATCCATTTTTGCGGTAGCAACCCACCCCCCTTCGAGCGGCCAAGCTACCAGAAACACAAGGCAAGCGCCTGCCCCAGCCGCGGCTGTACAGCGCTCTGTGGCCAACCCATCATCGGCCACCACTAACGAACTAGCCACTACCCTTCTAGCCTGGCAAAATGCCGGGGTTATCCATCTCCGCTCCCTCCCACCTGCAATAGCGGCAG